TGTCAAGTATTAAATGTATGATTACGGCTGCCGTAATGATGCATAATTATTTTATTTCTCCTTTTTTTACATTCGCATACTAATAGTATTTTTTGAACTCGCTCAGTAATACAAGACAACGTTAATATACGTTTCGTTGCAAAATATTGTCCAGGTTTTAGAGATCTATTGCGCATGAAAATTCTTCTTCTTTTTCCCCTTACTTACATGTTTTTGAAAAATAATAATTATTATTGGTTTTTATTATTGGTTGGATTTTTCTAGCGCACAAGAAGTATAGGTCGTATGGCGACTTTTCAGTTTTACTGAGGAAGACTTCAGGTGCCCTTTCGTGCGTTATTTCACCCCTCATTAAAACATTAATTAATATGAATATGTTTTCCCTATGACAAGAAGAAAAACACAAATAAAAATAGAACTAAAGAAGACATGATTTATTTTCTAATATGTTTAATCAATTCTTGTTTTGCAAGCTCAATAAGTTTTAATCATACCAAGAAAGCTCCCTATGTTTAAATCATACCAAGAACAACTTTACAGGTTTACACCATTAAAAGTATTTTGAACCTTGTATTCTTACGATCGTTGACACCATTTTTTATCTGAATTTGAGATCAATATGTAAATTTATCCATAAAGAGATATCTTAATTTAGACAACATCCGTTATTTGAGAGAAATGTTGACCATATAAGAAAAACTGTGATTATCTCTTTCAAGTCATTTTCGGAAATGTTTTCTTAGACCGTTCATTAGTACAGTAATGTCATTGCACTTTTTGTACTTAATGGATAAAAAAGCTGACTAAAATTAAACTAAAAGAAGAACAATTCATACATCTATACGTAAACAACACATCTAGGCCCAAACATTGTTGAGGACACAATAATGCCTCGCCCTCAGTCAAATTATCAAAAGCAGATTCGAAACAGAGAATGGCTGCCTTGTGAAGGAATTAAATCTCAAATATTCAAAAGAAAACGGAGCCGATTTTTGACAAGTTTTTTATAACCTCAGAACAAATTTGTTATAATAACAAACATGTTGTTACATTGTTTATTTGAAGACACAATTTAATTTGCAAATTAATATTCAATAAACAATAATTTCTCCCGCATAGAGATTGTTTTTGTTGTTGTTTGTTTGTTTGTTGAAGTACATGTATATTTTAAATTCACTTCACTAAATAATATATCTGATAATTCAGAGTTAATTAAAATCTTGTTTGTGATCAGCTCCATATAAACATTTGGCGCTTTTTTGCATAAAAACATTGCTTTTTTAGAATATTTTCCTGTTCAAATACTTATTTCCTTTCTTTATCCGATTCTTTTGATATAATTTGCATTTACCTTATGAAACATTTAAAAGAAAGACAAAAACAGTTTATACATTACGTACAAGTCTATTGTGATTTGTTTGTGTTTATGTTTTTGTTAATTATCAAAAGTTCAGAATCACTTTTTCATTTATTTTTTTTTTCATTCTTTGATATTAATATTTTATAAAATGAGGTTTAACATTTACTAAATTAAATGTCAACGTAATGTATTGGACACTTTATTGCGTTTTATTAAAAGTACTAACTTAAAGCCCACGGAATGTACTATGACATGATGCTAATTTGAGAACTTCAGGACTAACGCAAGACCGCATCAATAAACACTTTAGAATAAGATATTAACTACGTACATTTATACTATAATTGCAGTCATGCGATCAAGAGTTTCAAGTTTCGCGACACATAATTGTGAGAGTGACTTGAAATAAAATCCGTGATTATGAGATCTTGCATGACAAACTTAACATTACTAAATTCTACATATATCAAGACTATTCCGGGGGAAAAAGCACTTATACAATTCCCCTGATGGAATCTTTATTTTTGTAACACGACTTATAAGGAAATGACGCAGATACTGTTATATTATTGGAGATTATTCCAAACATGTATCAGTCATTAACCTTTGTAAACTAGTCATTACACATTATTAAGTTGTCGCAAAGATTCATACTTTCACGGTGTGTGAACATTGAAGAGAAAAAAAATGTATTAAAGTAATCCGTACGTAGTTACAAGGAATGTTATAAGCAACAATATAGTGCGTGGTATTCTTTCCATAAGAAACCTTACGTGTCCAAGCGTACAATATGAACTTTGATTTGTGTTTAGCTTAAAATGTTGCCTTTTATTTCATTTCGAATTGATTTAAGGAGCATGCTTTCAGATTCATGTTAATTGTCATGAAATTAAAAAAAGAAAAAAGCTTTTTAAAAGTACAATATTGTGAAGAGTACATAGACAGTAAATTACACATTTTTCATCGGCACTTAAAATCTACGATTATTATCAAACAAGGTTAGAATATAATTATGCAAAAGAGCCAATACTGCGTTAGTCACACAGTACAAATATGGTGATATATTCAAATGTACGTAAAAGTCAGTTATTAATTGCATATTACATGTAAATTATTTCTTGAATTTTGAGTACTTTTCCTTTAAATTTTTTCTTAAATCTTAGTAAATTTTAGAAATTGATTTTCTTGAAACCTACGTAAATGGTCAATATAATGACAAAAAGCACTTACTGTGTTAGTAACGCAGTAGAATGATAAATACAGTCTTACAAATTCAGTCATTAATCGCACATAGCATGTTTATTATGACATTTTCCTCAAGTTTAGATTTTGAAATATGTTGGCTCCTCTGGAGGCATGCATCTTTAAATGAGCAAAAATATCCAAATAGTTGGTATTTACTTAACACGGGTAGTACATTAGACCGTCCTTATTCTAATTACGAAAACAGGAAATGTTTTGCAGCAAGATAACATTTAGTTTTTGCTATTGTTATTGTAATTAATAGTTCTAAAAACCTCATACGCCTCATAAATGATGCAGAAATACAACACCAATTATTATTTAGAAAATATTTACAATATGCGTCTGCAAATAAAATCTAATAGTGTTACTATAATGGAGCTCTTACGCACAAAAATAGAATGTTGCGTAGTAACTGCTGATGGAATTTTACGATTATACGATTGTATTGTCTCTGCGACTAAATGTAGTCCATTAGCCAATCAGTGCGGTTATTTCCATTGCTTAAATTGTGGTTTTGTCTAAAACAATATACAAATAAAGAATCAAATCGCGCTTCAAATATTCTTGAGTAATTATGTTGTTGGCTTATGGTTCTATGTAATGGATTTTATAAATATACATGTAGCATATTTGATCCAGAACAGTTTGTTTTACGTATTTCACAAACCGAAATATGATTGTTTTTGGTAATTGTCCGATTACCTTTGTCCCATTCATGTATGTAAAGTTTTTTTATTTTGTTCTGTTTTATTTTTCAGCTGGTCCTATCGGAACATTGATTTCAGCACTTTTAAAAGTTGTAAAGAGAGTACCGCTCTCTTTACTGCTAGGGGGCGTGAGGGATGTTGCACTTTCTCATTATCCGTCATGTACCGACTCAATAAAACAGAGTCTGCAATAATTTTCATGTAATTTTGTTGTTATAACTGCCCTCCGACGGATCACAAAGTATCCAGATTTTTGTTAATAGTTAATTATTGTTGAGTACCAAATAATTGCACCATGTGTTGTTATCTAATTTGTTTTTAATGTTATTAACTAAACCATGTTCATTTCATCAAAGTCACGTCATTACAAAAAATTTCAGTTTTGAACCAATAACAATATCTAAGGGAAATGTGATCCACACTTCTTCTTTTTATTCGTGTACATTTAAAAGGCTTATAAAGTTTTATTAATAAATGCAATGACATATTGACTAAAGTAGTAATAAATTCCACGTTTGTATTGTATATTTTATATATTTTAAAATCATGAAAATGTTAAAATGGTTTGCTTATAGAATTTTCCACGATAAAATGTAGTCAAATTTATGGAACTTTCTACTATGTTTACTAATTGTGAAAAATATACATTTTAGACAACACATGAAGATATTGAATGCGTCAATAATAATTGTAAATGTTTTGTAATATGTTTTTCTAGTGCATTACTTCAACATATTATTGTTGTTTGGCTGTGCCATTAATTTTTACAAGCAGTTTTTACAACTATGCAATATACATTTATACTGTTTGATTAAGTCATACAAGTAACCTCTGACCCTCTCAAAGTGCCAGTTTATTTCGTTTCGCCGACTGTTTTTTTATTGTGGGCTAACTATTTCTATTACTTGGGAGACAATTCGCCCTTTTCATGGAATAGCACGAAAGTGTCACATTGAAGGTTCCATAATTGCCGCCATATGAATACGTCTGCGGATATTTCTCAATGTAGATATTGCTATTTCATCTTTATATGTTGTTAAATCCTGCTTATGCCAGTGCTAGGGGCCATTGAGGTAGCAAGCATTTACCATTACCGTCCGTCAAACCGATCCTGCAACGTTTTCAATTTTTCCTTTTTTCGCGTTCTTTGTGGATTTTGCGTCGCTCTATTTTGTAGCTTTATCAAAGGCGGGTTTGTGTCTCAAAAAACAAATTAACTCCGTTAAATGATTAAATACTTAGACGTCTGCGGGAATAAAATGCCAGTCACTGGATTATATGCAATATTTCTAGTATCAACAGCAAAATGCCCTGACCAAACCAAATTGAATATAAAACAACTTATGAATTACTAGGCGTACTTTAAATGAAATTAGCAGTTGGACTATTTGTTATTTTATCATACGCGGTTTATAATGTGTTGAACAATAATAACTTTATGGTGATTGCTTAGCGTACATATGATAACCTGTATGATTTCATCAAAGAGTTTGTAATACACCAATAAAATTTAGTTTGTAATTGTATAACGTCATTCTGCACATACAGAAATTTGGTAAACCTTGAAAATAACCAGGAAAGAAAAGATTATGATGTTTACATAAACATGATCAATTTAGATACATCATAACGAGTTACTCCCCATTGCATCTTATAAATACGTGAATCCGATAGCGTATACATTATGAAGTAGTCAGTCTGCGTTGAGAAGTCGAAGTGGAAAGACGTGCTGAACGAGTGAGCGCTGTCGATATTTAATACTGTCAGTTTAACTAAACATATCGGAATAAAAAAAAATATCATTAATTGGAAACGGAAATAATATCTTTGGATTTTACATAAATTGTTAATAGCAAATTACTTTATTCAAAATTGTGATGTAAAATATACAGGTTTAAACTTGTTACAGAGGTTTAAAGAACTTTTTTTATTCAAAATGGCATGTGTACTATCAATGTACACATTAAATCAGAACCAATTCAAAGAAAATGTCACAGATATACACAACATTGGACTTACATATTTGGATTTTAACTGGATAAATAACATAGGCCAGCAATCTGATTTTCTAGAGAATCATATTTATTGTGGACAATATGAAAACGATAGAGATACGCCGAAATTATGTCGATTGGAAGTTGCAAATGATACTGTCCAACATGATCCGTTCAACATTATCTCAAATAGTAGGTTTGAATCACAAGTTAATACGATAGTGTCGGATGCCGTCTCGGATAAGCAAGACCTCACCAATGGTATGTTATTATATAAATTTTAATATTTTTGTTATTTTTTCTTATAATTTATTTTAAATATGTTAAAGCATTAGGAATAAATATCTAAGGAGGGAAATAAATGCAATATAGTCATCTAAAGTGAAGTAAAGTTTTGAAAACCCCGATATACACCTAAAGTCGTATCACCTGTCTATCGTTTTACCGTTTCTTTGTTTGCCACCGTATTACAAATTCTTTAAGGTTAAGCAGTACCTTGTTTATGTTATTATTAAACTCCATGTCACCGTATCTTTATCAATGCAATTTACTTGTAGTATATTTACACTTTAAACCTGGGACAGATTTAACTACAAATAACTTACTAGAGTGACATACTAGCAGTATTTTAACTAGTGACTGACTCATCTTTATTCAAATTTAACACTCATGAATCATATGTTAAACCCAAAGTACTTCCCAAAAAAAATCATAATTATGTTACTTAATTACATGACGTAAGGGTTAAATCGTCTTATTGTATAAACTTTGTCCGGTTATCTAATGTAACGTTGAATAATCAGCAGTAAAAATATTGAAGTTACGTAATCACAACCTATAACTTATAAGCGCTACTCATCCACATAGTGGGTTTTTTTCTCTCTAATTTTCTAAAATAAACTTCCGATGCATTTGTATTTTCAATGTTCTTTTAAATCGCATAAGTGTATTAATAGCGTCTAATACCTATCCGCCTTAATAATATGTAAATATTTATAATTTTGATAATTTTTTTTATAGTTATAGGGTTTGTTATATAAAAGATTATGTAAAATCGTATTCAACTTATCTTTCATAACCAGTGTGTATCATGAAACACGATCGATTTCTTTCATTTACGTGAACGTTTATTGTATTTACTTCATTATATAACGCTTATATTGGTTTTATGAAAATATTAACAATATGCAACATTTGTTTATTTACAGGTAGCACAGATTTAAATGAAAAGACTGAAATGTGTGTTCAATTAGATATTACAAAGAATGGAGTTAAACGGAAAGCTATTGTCTCGGGCTGCGATGAAGAATACATTCCATCAAAGCGAGTATCACCGTTCTTGAACACACCGAAAGAAAGAAAAGACGAACGCAAAAATATTCTAAAGATATCTGTGAACAAAATAAAGAAACTGGACGACCCCGAGATCTTTCTCCGAAGAAGTGTTCTAGTTAATAATTTAACTAAACGTTTGCAAACGGAGTTACGACAAGAAAAACAAAGCAGTAGGAAGTTTAGCTCATATAGAAGGAAGTGTTTCAGTGATTATAAAGTGCTCAATAACAGTTGTCTGTCAGACACTTATTTAGAGGACGATCCATTCCTTAGTGGTACACATGAAGCAATTACTGACGACATGACTGACACACTCATCAATAATGTGTTAAATGATAACAAGTCAAACGAAGTGAAAGAAGACCATGATTCTTGGTGACATACTAGAGGTACATAGACTCTGGGTTTACATAAATGAAATTCTGTCAAGCCAACTATTTATTTATAAAAGAATCTGTCCACACTATTTAAATTTGAGATTTATTTCTAGAACGGAAGACCAAAACAAATTATTCCATTAAGATATATATAGAAATGTATATATAGGAGATATAAATACGCATTTTTAGAATATATATTATCTATTCAACGTTATAAGTTTTATCATGTCAAGTAATATCGAAATATACGACCGTGCCTTTATATCAATCCCGATGATTTGTCTTAAAATAGTTCTTAAAGGCAAAGCTATATGGAGCAAGTTTTGATCAACAGTGTGATAAAATGCTTAAAAGCTATATGTATGTTGACTAGATAGTATTATTACATTCCATAAAAGAATACGTAATTTTCATTTCAACTCCTTCCTTTGTTTAGAGTTTGATTTTCATCCTATCAGTCTAGTCAAGTATTCAAATACGAATTAATGTTACGTATTCAATTTGTGATCTCACTGTATTGGTTTCCGTGTACTAAGAAAACACGAAATTGTTTTTATGAGTTTTTCGTTTCCATATTGTAAAACTTAAGTTTAATTCATTACTGTGTTTCATATTCATCAGACAAGGTCGATCAAAATTGAGCCGCGTCACGACAAAACCAACATAGTGCGTTTGCAACCAGCATGGATCCAGACCAGCATGCGCATCCGCGCAGTCTGATCAGGATCCATGCTGTTCGCTATCAGTTTCTCTACTTGTTATAGAGTTGTAAGCGAACCCACCCTAGCACTGTCCTTAGCGCTATTCAATCCCGAGCGTACTAAAAGCTTGTTTCTTTTAGAATCGTTATAAATGCCCTAATGTCGTTGTGATAATATAGTGGTTTAGAGGATATGTTGAATACATGTATGAGGAAAACTCTTGCATATTTATATCATTCCTGACATATTCGCTCACACATAACAGTGTCTTATGACCAAAGGTCTGTAAAATGTCCCTTTTTTATAGGAAATAGGTTTCATACGTTGTCGTTGTTTTGATATACAACACACACACACACACACACACACACACACACACACACACACATAATGTTATTTTACAAAGCGTTGATTTGTCAAAAAATTTATTTATATGTTGTCATCCATTTTCAGTAATACAGTTCTATCTGTTTCTATTGTTACTTTACTGTTGGGGGATTTCACTGGAAATCTATGTTTTATTTTTAGGGCAGACCAATTATTGTGTTTAAAAACAAGATACAATGACGTGTATATTTTTGTTAAATTATTGACTGCGTTCTCAGATGTGTAAATATGATGGGTCATTTGTATATTTTTATGTATGAAAGATTAAATATTGATGATATATAATATCAAAGTGCTCGAAGTATAATATATATGTGACTGGTTTGAAAAGCTGTCATGAAAAATAAAATGAACAAAGCAAAATTGTAGTTGTGTTTATTTATAGTAACATCAGAGTAACATCTGCTTGGCATGTATATCATATAATTATAATATCTTTGTTAAAGCATGTGAAGGGCAGCAACAAATGATGTGAAAAAATCTATATCATCGTGAAAAAGTTTTGCTTCTCATATTGTGACTTGATAAACTTGTCATTCTTATTTGAACTTGATAGTATAACATTTGATATCATTTGCTATAATATTATCAAAATATCGTTATTGCCTTAAATAGAGCATACTTATGCCATTTGTTTGTAACTTACTATCTGCAATTTACAAACAAGCGATAGATCTTGCTAGCGTATACTTTTCACGTGCAATGTTTGATGCAATCTTAACAATAGCACACTCCGAAGTAAACGTTCGGGTGGGAGACTGCGTTTAAGAAAGCACTTAAATAAAACCCTTTAAAACGCTTATTACCTGTCGTGTAAATTAAATCTATCAGCAAAGTTTGCCATCGCAAAAGTTAAAGGATCTATATATACCGACCGTCGGGTCAAGGATATTTTCCTCTGCGGATGTATTTTAGGTGTGGACCTATTTCATGACTAATTGAATGTCTGTGTTTATAAAAAAAAAATTTGTGTGTGAAGAAACGTATTTAGCACCTTGCATCATTAGAAACCGGATCATGTATATTTGCATTATAACAGTGTAATTTGCTATCAAATACACTTATTTACAATACCCTTTCGTTTAGTTGTTATGCATTGATCATAACAAGCTAGGCAAAACAGTTGTTTGTAACTTTATCTTACTTTTAACAAGATGTATAAAAAAGATAACAGCACAAAGAAAATATAAAAAAAATGTAGGCATATTCGAATATTAAGTTTCATTTTTGTATTATATTCAATGGTTTCTAATAAAAGCACTTAAGTTAAGTGTTTTCATCAATCAAAACACTTTAACTTTGTTTCTAATAATGTTAGACTTCACAAAATATGTTTCCTTCTATGAAGGTCAAATAAATGAAAAACAAGATATTTTTCATGAATATGTCATTGACTTGTTGCGGCTTTTCAACATTTTTTTTCTGTTTGATTTGACGTTTAAGTGTACAAATCTGTATTTCTGAATGATGCGTGCTAAAAAACCAATGCCAAACAGTTAAAGCCTTACATTAAACAGTAGTATATTGTTCAAGACCATTCCATCATGTTTACGTGTGATAAATTGCAAAGACATTCTATATTACAACTTTTCCAGGAATCAGCTATCAGATTAAAGAATTACCATTGATCATATAGCACGTGATCATCGTGCCAATTGTTACTATAAAGTTGAAATATCAGACGAGTTTGCTTTGTAATTGGAGATTCATAGTTTAAAGCGGTTTGAAGAAGTTATTAAAAGCGGTTTAAAAAACAAAAAAAAAACATCCGACAGTTCATTCTAATGGATTGTCAGATATCAGCTTTTACCTTAGCACAGTCCAGAAAAAAAAACAACATTTTTCCAAACTATTCATCATAAAAAAAACTTTTTTCACCGTAACAAGTCACTATCGAAAGATAAAAAAGACAAGAAGAGGGGATTTTTTTGTATTCTTGTTACAAGTGCAATTCTATCTTCTGTCAGTTGTTGTTGGAAACAAGTGGGCGTATTACACTTAACAGTAGCATACTTAAACTGAATTACGTTTGCCTTTAACAGTATTACTATTCTATTATCAAGGACATATGAGCCGTGTCATGACAAAACCAACATAATGGGTTTGCGACCAACATGGATCCAGACCAGCCTGCGCATCCGCGCAGTCTGATCAGGATCCATGCTGTTCGCTATCAGTTTCTCTACTTGTGATAGGGTTTGTAAGCGAACAGCATGGATCCTGATCAGACTGCGCGGACGTTCCAACATTTTGGGTTTAGGGACTATTTTCTTTGTTATTTTCTTTGTTTTCTTAAGGGCTCCTAGCCCATAAACCCTTTGATCACGGAATGAAACTTTTGTTCTCTTTTGTTCTCTTTACTGTTACATAGCCCTTAAACCCAAAATGTTGGAACGGATGCGCAGGCTGGTCTGGATCCATTACGTTGGTTTTGTCGTGACGCGGCTCATATGGCAGTTTGAATGTTGATATTGACAATATATCATATACTTAGCCGCCTTACAATGTTCATTGTTAAAAGCTAACAAAACATTGATTTGAAATAAGATATACGATATCGTACTTTCAGGAAATGATAAGCACGAACAAATCAAATGCATTTCTTAAAATAAATCCTGAAAACAATATGTTGTGAACGTATTTTCCGTTAATACTGCTTGACTCCGGATAAATAATTTACATATAAATCTTCAAAAAATTAAACTTTAGAGCAAAACGGCTACAGTCTAAGAAATGAATAGATATTGGCACAAGAGGCGAATCTTTAAATGTAAATTGTAAAATATGACATAATTAACTATTTTTTATGAGCAAATCTTAACCCCCGTTACTTACAGATGAAGAGAAATGTTTCCATATATTCATATATTATTGTAAATATCCAAAGAGTGTAAGTTTATATCTCTTTAATAAGACTGGACAATATGTCAAAATATTTAAACAACAAGTGTTAGTTTTCATGACAAATGGCGTAAACCTAGTAGCTTCTGCTTTAACGCGATGTAAATAAGAATAATCAAATAGAAAATAAAAATAAAAAAGAATACTGTAACAGTAACAAATAACAAACATTGCATTATGTACAATCCGAAACTGATATTGTATCTGAGAAAATGTAGACAAACTTCATACATTGAATTCTTCTCTTTTTTACCTGAATAACTCGTGTCGCTGTTATAAAGACGATCAGGTTAAACATGTGTAAAGTTGATGTAATTAATGTTTGTTAGATCAATGGGAAAGTCTTTAAACAGTCTTTCGTGTTTAAAGATATTATGTTTGAGAGATATAAGTACTGTTATAAAATATTTCTATGTTCAATGGCTGGTAACATTTCATACTCAAACTTATACGAATTAGTAAAAAGAAAATCAGGAGTATTGGAAAAGATTTTAAAAAGTTCAAACGAGCTTTGAAGCGCCCATTCTAAAGTGGTAGATTTTATGATGCTAGAACGTACTTTGTCTTTTGCCTATTGGTGTTTAATATCGTAATTGACATTGGGGACACTGAACAGACATTTGCCCCCTTTAAACCTAGCAAACCTGACTGCGAATCCATTTACTGGTACGTGTAACGCCCGTTATAAATTTGAATTTTCAAATTTTCAAATAATAAAAAAGAGAAACCTGGCTAGGTATTTATTTAGATTGTATAGTAGACTCTTGTTTCATGCTAGTGATGAATATAACATATGTTTTCGGTGCCACAAACAAGCTGTTAACACGAGCAGACGTTTATTACTGTTTTATGTCATTGTTACGCGTGAGGAAAATATTCATTGTTCTTTGAATGTGTTGGGAAAAATTAATTCTGCTGCTATATATAGACTTAGTAGGGAAAAAAGCCAATGGAATTAATTGTATTAAAAAAGATTCATATTTCAACCTTTGCTTTTATAAAACTGGTTTAAAGGTCTTCTAAACAAACTGGCCTCTTCTTGTACACCAATTTATATATTATAATTATTAATGTACTTTTACAAGTATTCATTTAGCAGTGAGTAATGGTTTAGATAATTGCACCATTATGAAGTTGTATAAAATTGAGTGAACTTACAGATCCTATTACAAGTAAAGAAACTGATAGCGAACAGCATGGATCCTGATCAGACTGCGCGGATGCGCAGGCTGGTCTGGATCCATGCTGGTCGAAAACCCATTATGTTGGTTTTGTCGTGACACGGTTCATATTTTAATACATATATCAAACGGAAGTGTGAGTTGTAATATATTTCTTACGACAAAGAAAGGATTAGTTCCGTAATATACATATGTAACAATTATCAAGTAGAAGCATTCGGGGAGATGTAATGTTAAGATTATTTGACAGTTATAAATAATTGTAAGCCAAGTTTTCAAGCATTTAAACTTTGCAATAAGATATGCCGTGTTAATCGGGCGTCATGTAATGTTAAAGTGCGTCGATGTAAAATATCTTTTTAGCAATGGACAGCTGATAAAATATGTATTTATCATCGTTAACCCTTCTAAACAGAAATTATAAATGCATGTAATGTCACATATAAATCGTTTTATGACCCTGCTATTGTTCACCTACTTAGCTTTAATTACATTATATTACGTAATTATACGCCTTTATCGAATATTAATATGCTTTGAAGAGATTGCCTTCTTAGATAAAGTTGAAAGAGATATTGACTGTAAAATATTCTTTAAAAAATAGTTTTACGCATCACTATGGGAGCAGGCACAATTATCCTTGAAAACGTCTTGGTTTCTGGCAAGATGCCGAGTACCCTAGCGTCAAGTCGGGTACCAAACTTTTTGTCGCCCATTGTTTTTGCATGTATTTTGATAAAAATGTATACCAAAAAAGGAAAATTAGCAGACGACATTTGAGCAGACGACAATATTCCCTGCATGCAAAGGCTTATTAATATATTGACTCTTACAAATGTCTTTTCTGTAATATGCATTATTCCAATCAGAAAAGAAAGCATGAGAAGAAAATAAGCAGACGATATTTTAGCAGACGACAATATTTCGTGCTAATAAAGGGTTAATATACTTACTCTTACAATTGTGCTCTCTGTAATAATATATTATTCCAGTCAAAAGTGTAAACGTGGAGACGATATTTTAGCAGACGACAATATTCCCTGCTTAAAGGGGTTAATAGATTGACTGACAAATATACTCTCTGTAATATTCATGTTAAATAACACATGTTACGTACGGTACAGTACATTGATTGAAGCAGAAAACGACTTTTACGACTGTTTTATAACTATTTTACGAGCAATGTTTTATTTCGCTCATGTGAACTTTTCATAAATGTAGTCTACCGTAGCTTAATTTAGTGTACTTTGGACATCTTTAGTGTATATGAGTGGTATTTTG